CTACAACCGAAGAAGAAGATAATGTAAAGAATATTATAGATGATTTAGGAGACTTTGATGATACAGAACTAGAAAATAAGGAGGGAGATGTTTTGAATAAGGTTGAAGATGATGATGATGATGAAACTGTTGTTATTGAAGGGAATATTGTAAGGGAAGATGAAAAATGGAGACAATATAGAAATACAAAGAGAGGTGAGAAATGATAACATATTTTAAAGTTTTCAAAAAGGAACATATATTGGCAAAGTCTATGTTACATTAAATTTTGTTTCAAAAAGATGAAAAATAGCATAATTTTTATATAAAGGTGGGAAGGAAAGAAATAGTTTGTGAATTATTTTGAAAATATTTACGCTCAGTTGGCTTTAGAGATGAAGGTTTGCCATTCTTTTAAGAGAATCCATTCTTTTTGTCTATACATTAATGTGGAAACACAATCACACATTGGCATTTACCTCATGGGTTAATTAAAAAGCTATTCTGTTAAATGTTTTGAACAACTTGTTTGCCTCTGACTATTAGTACCTAAGTTATAAAATATATAATTACATAAATGGCAATATTTTAGGAATAGCACTTAATTGCTGTTTATTTCAGGCCACTTTTAGATATCAGACATAGTAAGCATTTAGAACATATTGCATGTAGTCATTGAAAATCGAGGGTTACTGCAAAACTGTTGTAAGTCCTTTATTTCATATAAGTTGTCAACCATGGATAATACTTAATCTTAAGCTATTAGCAAGATTTATGTTGATGATTGCAATCATGTTCTTTTAAATGCTAAAGTGTAGTATTGATATAATTATGATAATCATTTTTTCACAGGTATAGAGTTAATAGGCTAACATGATCACATTGTCACCTTCGTGCAGTAATGGCTGAACTCCTTATAAAATTTAATAGGAGTTAACCCGTTACTGCACTAAGGTGATGACATATGCCGTATTTGCTTTTTGTCAGGATAATTCCAAGACAAGTCAGTTATTCATACTAAGCATTCAGAGTGTTTGCCTAATTTAGATACATGTATATAATTATATATTTATTTCAATTTCAATCATTTATATATCTAAGAGACCATGTTTAATGAAATATGACTTCATTTTAAGCTATGTCTAGCTTCAATTAATGTGAAAAAAGCTGCTGTTAGTGTTTCATTATATTGTCTATAATTGTCATGGTAGATAGCTCAAACTATGGGATGGGGTAAGGTTTCTTGCAAATAGATCATATTAAATATGTTGAGAATAAAATTAATACAAAATAATAACAACAGTTTTTTTTTCTCTCAGAATCACATCAAATGCATATTTATAGCAATTTTTGTCTCCTATAATCATTGGAAAAATGATGTCGTATACCACAGTATTGCCACACTGCTTTATATAGAATTTTTAAGCTAAGTTGGTATTAATTATTATAACTGTGTATTTTCTGTGTTTCTTATATAATTGTTTAAATATTATGTAAATTTTTTCGCACATGTTTTTTTTTCTCCAGATATTTCTTGAATTTTTTTAATTCTTTATTCTTAATAATCTTTTCCATTTTAAAACATGGCTCAGCATTTACATTAAATTTTCACAGCATATGTCTTACAGTAACACATGTTGTATTATAATAAAGTACAAAATAATTACTAATGTCATTATAATTATCATTGTGACATGTTCATAAGCTCAACCAAAGGTGTCCGACCCTATAGAGTCAGTACAACATTTGGTAAAAGTTTTGTAATGCAACTTTTACTCAGAAGGTATTCATTTCAAACTTCACAAACCTCACTGAGTATAGGAATTGTATCTTAAACGGTTTGTTCCTTATCCATTATTATGTACATTGTAATTGAAACATACATTTCAGCCATACAAACTAATTTACTTCATAGTATTTGTTATTAAGTATTTAAATGATAATTTATTTGCTAGTTACATGTTAATTATTATGATAGGATTTAGACTTGTGGAATATGGTAAGCATAGTTTGACACCAAAATAACATTAAACAGAATCTGGAAGAGCAAGTTAAATCTGAACTGAGAAACATTCATGGAAGGAGTGGCAAAAAGTTTAAAATTTAATGAAAATTTATTAAAGCGAATATTTCTCATTTTAAATTAAATCTTAAAATTGAGAGGCTGTAGAAAATGTTTTCAGATAATTATATGCATTGCATACTTCAAAAATGAATCTGCAACCAGAATTTTTTTAAAACAAGACACAAGTTTAATATTGTCCGTTGAACAAATAAATTGTTTTGGATTGGATTAGCTTAAGTCAGTTTGGACGGTATACAAATTTGGGAGGACTTTCATAGATTTGTAAGATATTATATATCGGTTCACATTTGTCTTGCATTATAATTAAAAAATGGTAAAGGAAGCATAATATGTATAAAAAAATGGAAAGAATATGATTATCATGGATACGAACATTGCAAGCTTCATATAATATATATATATAATATCTGCTTTATCAAACACATTCCTTTACCACTCTTTATTTAAATAGTTTGATACAAAGAATTATTCTTGGGAATGGCTTTTCATTTCCTTGTTCATGATAAGAAACAGAAAATATTAATTTTCTCCAGGTTGTTTACCCATTTAATTATGTAACATTTAATTATGTAATCTATCCTGTTTGTAAATGACTAAGGTGTGAAATGGTTATTAAATGTCCTTTATTTCATTTAATATTGTATGATATAATGAACAATTTCTAACTTGGATTTGAATAAACACCTATGTATGTGTGCAGTGTAGTTATTTTAAATTATAATCATTCCCAGTATAACCTGATTGAAGATCAACCCATGCTGTTATCCAGAACAAGGCAAACATGGGTTGTTCCAATCCCTCGGTACAAACAAACTTTTACCATTATAGCTTCAGCATGCACTTCCATACACAGTAAAGGGATTAAGGCATTGCACTTACTATTGATATATTTGCGAAATTTTGTTTGTACCCCTGGATTAGAATGGGAAAAACCCACATTTGCGAAGCTCCACAATATCTCTATTATGTTGCTAATATTTGATTTATTATAGGTAAAAGTTATGGGTAGTGTTGTATTTAAGCCATTCAACATTTTATATTTATGTTATAAGTATCTCATTAAATTTCATTTACATGATATTACAAGGAATTACATTTGCCTATGTTAAGAATGCTATAAATCTTGCACAGTCATATTTATAAGCAGCATTATATATTTTATACACTTTTGTCTCAAAGTCTTTGACCAACTTTGTGTATATTGTCCCCAGTCCTCACTGATGCTAGTCTGAAAGGAGCAGGAGCAATTAATTTCCCTGGTCACATTCCACTCTGGTGCATGCTTGTACCTGAAATAATGCATGATGGGATTTCTAAGAATATCTTCCATCTCTGTAGCTTTAAAGGTCTTTTAAGTTTTCCTGTTTATATACTATCATATGATGTTAATGCCACATCAGATGAAAAACAAAAATGTTAAAAAAGTGGCTTATACGTTTTGGAAACCAAAACCACCACATCTTAAGTGGGTGAAAAAAAGTTGCTGGTTGTCTTTTTAACAGTGCTATTGCAGTGAAATAAATATCATCTTCCTCAAAAGCTTGATTAAAACTGCTGATTTTTTAAACAAACTTTGTTTTTGCTAAAAGTGCCTAAGCTTTGCTATATGCTGTAGGAGTCCACATAATGACAAACTATGGTAACTAACTAACAATCCTATGTAATTGTTTCATAATTATTATGTCATATTGCTTTGAAATTTAGGACAATGACATAATTACCAAGTATTACTGGCACATTGCATTGTCAATTAAAAATGTACTTTTAGTTTAATACCATTTTAATGCCAAAAAATAATTTTTAGATTTGAGTGGACTAAAAATGAATGGCAGTGCAGATATCTGTCTTCCAAAACCAGCTTGACACCCTATTTGACCTTTTCATATTATATATGTTTTTAATGGTTGAATTGTATAATGACCTATTTTTTCAGCTCAGTATTCATCTAAAATAAAAATTACATAAAAAGTAAAAATCTCCTCACTTTTGTGCATCTTAATTATAGTAATACCAGAACAGATTATGTACCTCTTGCCAGAATTCTTCTTGCAATGGCAGTTGAAATATGTAGAATTTTACTATCAAAAGGAGGGCAGGCAGGGTTCTGAAGTGTTGCACGCAACACCTGAGTTACATGTTAATATTGTCAGTGTCCATTTTTAAAAGAGATAATCCCCCCCAATGGTGCTGCTTTACTACATTAATGTTGTATGATATTGATCTTGTATTGTACTGCCATTGCTTTTATCTTTATTTACAATTACTTGTGCTAATTTCTATTTTGGTCCAATATGGCATTTAAAACTGCCATTTTACTTTATAATGACTTACCAACATTGAATTTCATTGTCTTTGTTATAATTTATTGATGTTAAATACATACATCAATAATATTGTATTTCAGCATTTTAATTTAAGCTGTATTCCAGATGAACATAAAAATGCCAGGAAAAAAAATATTCTATTTATTTTATATTGTATTTCAACTGCATGGTAAATGGTATTTTGAAATTGTGTCTGTTTAATTATATTTTATTGGAAAATATTTGAAATAGGAAAATTTATTTCTTCAATTTGTTGAATTTATTTTTGTCTTCATCATTTACAAGCCAATCCAATGATTTATCATTTTGTTCTATTTGTTTGTATGGTAATTTGGTTACAGTGAGCTTTTTAATTTCTGAGTGTTTGAGATGATAATTTACAATTCCCTTAAATTGCCAACCGCCAGTATAGAACAAGACTTAGGTCCTCACAATTCTATGTGGCCAGTTCAGCCAAACTCTTCACAGTTTACTGCGTTAGTTTGTCATATTGATTTTGAAATCCATGAAAATATAGAATATATATCATACTGTAAAAATTCAAAATAGTTTATTGTGTTAGAATATTGTTACAGGTTGTAATGAATGGTATTTTTTTTTCTATGTATAGACTGGAACACTGGTAGATGGTAGAAATGGTGACTTGATACGTGCACATCCTGAAGATACAAGGTCATGGACACATCATAATGGAATGTAAGTTGTATAATTCAAGTGTAATTTGTCATACTACTCAAGGTCATATTAAAGGTCATGGACACTCATAATGGAATGTAATACTACTCAAGGTCATATTTAAGTTCATGGACACATCATAATGGAATGTAAGTGGTACATTTGTATATAATACTATTCAAGGTCATATTCAAGGTCATAGACACGTCATAATAACATGCAAGTTGCACAATTGTAATTTGTATTACTAATCAAGGTCATTTTGAAGGTCATGGACACATCATAATAGCATGTTAGTTGCACATTTTTAATTTGTATTATTAATCAAGGTCATTTTCAAGTTCATTGACACATCATAATGGATGTAAGTTGTACAGTTGTTATAGGTAATGCTACTCAATGTCGTTTTTAATGTCATGGACACAGCATGAGGGAATATATGTTGTACAATTGTACTTAGGGCCATATTCAAGGTCATGGACGCATCATAATGGAATGTAAGCACTTGTAGTTCCAATGATATATTACTCAGGGTTAAGGTAATATTACTCAGGGTCAAGGTAAATGGACACAAAATTATGGAAAGTAAATATTATGAATGTATTACAGTTGAATGTCAAGCTCAAGGTCATTGTTCTATTTTACATTGTCATAGTGTATTTGAATGTAAATATATGAAGGAAGGTAAGTTAACTTAGAAAGTAGAGTGCCTGTTTTACATACCTTACAGTCACAAGTTAGTCTTAAATTGATTGCATATGTTTGATTGAAGATCAAAATATCACAGAAGCCAAAGTTTCCAAGTTTATTTGATTATGTCAGTATGCATATAATTACATAAACAGCAGAAAAAAAACTAAATAAATATAAAACCATGTCTATATATAGAGGACAATATTCAGACATTTAAAATGAAAAAAATCTGCAAAGGTTGATAATGAAATAAACTGAAAATTAAATTGAAATGGATTTTTGTGTGATTCTTAGCCCAATTTCAGTGAAAAGCCCAGGAACACTTTTTAATTTGGTCATTTTGCACACTAAAAGATAATATTCTTATAAAACAGGGTGATCAGGGAATGATCTGAAAATGTGCACACCAGTTTTTGGTCCATTAACCTTCATCAAATGATACATACATATTGAAAAAATATTTTCTGTCCAGTCATGTCAACAACAAAAAACTCAGTGGAGTCCCTTTAACCCTGATTGAAACTGGTTGGTGCAGAATCAAAGAACACATGTAAGATGATTGCCTTCCTCTAGATGACTCAAAAAATGCACTTAAGTTTAACACATTCAAAACAAAAATCAAATTTTGAGATCAAGTTGAAAGACTTTACTGTAGAGTGACATGTAATAGAACAGTTTCAGAACTTATCAGAAAGTTTACACTAGGTAAGTTAAAGGATAAAATTAGAAGACTGTTTTAAACCTTAGCGTCAAAGTCATATCATAGCCGCGTCACAACAAAACCAACATAATGCGTTTGCGACCAGCATGGATCCAGACCAGCCTGCGCGTTCGCGCAGTCTGATCAGGATCCATACTGTTCGCTATCAGTTTCTCTAATTGTAATAGAGTTTTTAAGCGAACAGCATGGATCCTGATCATACTGCTTGGATGCACAGGCTGGTCTGGATCCATGCTGGTCGCAAACCCATTACGTTGGTTTTGTAGTGACGCGGCTCATATATAAAGCTCAAATAATTCAATTTGTCAGCAATAGTAAGAATAAATAAGGGGTAGTTGAAAGATACAAAACAGGGTTGTCAGCTGGTAAGTCAATATCTCTTAGACAATTCATGTAGGTCAAATTGTGTATGAATAATATGGTTATATAGTCTTTTATGCTATTGTTGGAAAGGAAATTGTTAGTTAACAAATATGACATCATTCTTAAGGTAGGTGAATATTGAAAGAAGTGATGATGAATCATTTGAGTAAGTTACATGTGGGCAAGCAAAAATCAAAGTAGGTCATACAATAACTGAACTACGTTTTGTATATATAGTCATCTTATATCCGGCTTCCAGCCAAACCTGTGAAACTATCTTTGAAACTGCAAAAAGAAAACCTCACTTAAGATTATAAATGTATTAACAAAAGAAATATGTTGGAAGATACAATGTAAAAAAATCTTTTAATCTTTTTGGATCTTTTAATTATACAAGTGAAGTAAAACAATCATCTTGAATGTTAATTTGGTGCTTTTCAAATATGTATTAAATGCTTGATGTGACTTAATCATTTTGTTGGTTTAGTAATTAATGTTTTATTATGTTCATTATACATTTGCTGAAGAAAATGTTGCTTTAAGAAATGAAAGAACTCTTGTAATAAAAAGTCATGTATTTCTAATCTTTAAAAAGCTATTAAATGAAAATTTTATAAAAATGATCTTGATTTTTTTTTAAAATTCCATTTGTAGATTTCCTGAGCGCAATGAATTCTACACTTCCATAGACAGCATGCCTGAAATAAAACCTCCGTCGCGGAAATCTGCCATCCTTGTTAGTGACTTGGTAAGTAATATCTATATGTTCAAATTCATGTATAACCTATTTATTCCTATAATATGTTGGTAATTGTTAATGAAAACTATAAAAAAAAAAAAAACCTAAAAATTCTCAAATTTCACCTTTACAAATAGAAAAGTATTTTAATTAAGGACAAATTCTTTACATTTTAAATCAGGATATTGATGGATTTTTTCAAGAAAGCTTTCTGATTTTGAGAAGAATAATGCATTAATAGATGATATTTTCAGGGTTACAATAACTTTTGTATTCTTTTCTTTATCTCAGTTATTGTTATTGAAGTGTTTTATTTAATGGCTGAAGAATATATTTCTGATTTTACAGTGTGAAAAAATCAGATCAAAATGATGAATTTAAATCAAAATGATACATGTACATGTACACTGGTATAATAATGATAATAATAATAATAATAATAATAACTTTATTTACCGAAGGTAACACATTAAGACATATACAGATTGCAACATCTTATAGGACCATTGCACTTGAAACACATTGTTTTACACAAATATACATGTATTTTTATTTGATGATGTATTTTTACAAGGGTAACATTTAATTAATATATATTTAACATATTGTAAAATCATCCTGTGCAATATTATCACATAAGTTAGATATAAACACTGATCTGTATTATATCTCTACCTTCAATCTTTATGTCTGGTCCATGATTTTAGTAAAAACCTCTTGAAAATATAGAGCTTTAAGCGTTATAAATTTCATTACCTTTAAAGTATATGAAGGGATTATTTAATGAAATAATAACCCGCAGGGAACACTCTATCAGTTGAAGTTACTCTGGATAAATTATTACTTATGGAATATTTTTGCCAAAAATAAACACTAAATCAACTTAGTATATCATGACAGATTGACCAGAGTTATTGCCCCTGCTTTGATTTCTCCACCACTAAAGTCTGGTTTTTATGATGTTGTTAAAATTGATGAAGCTATGTAAATAAGTTTATTATGTATGTGTTTTCTTTTATTGTTTCCAACAGGTGATGAAGGTATAACATCTTTCATTGTTTTTCTGTCACTCTGTTATATTTTGTAATTGCCACATTTTCTAAGAAGACATCATCAGGGGTTTATGTGTCTAATGGAGTCATGTTGTCCACTCTCATTCAGATTGTTTACTTACACCAATATACTTAACTATCCTGTCTGTAATTACTAAGTGTTGTTTTCCCCCTTCTTTTTAAATCAGGAAAAAAGGTTTCATTCTATATTATATGATGAATTTACTCCCATTTACAGAAGAATTCTTCACATTACACCAGTAAATAACTTTTAATATATATTTTAATATATAATCATGATCGCCATGGTCATTTATTACACATCATCATCATGTCCCCTTTCATTGTGGCATCATGTTTAGTTCATTATACCCCCACAAACGAAGTTTAGGGGGGGTATATAGGAGTCAGCTTGTCGGTTGGTCGGTCGGTCGGTCCGTCGGTCGGTCCACATCATGGTTTCCAGACGATAACTAGAGTTTGGAGTGAGGTATTGTAATCAAACTTGGTATATAGCAACCTTATGTGGAAACCCCGGTTGGTATTGCATTTGGACCCCCTGGGGCCAAGGTCAAGGTCACCGTTACTAAAAATAGAAAAATGGTTTCCGGACAATAACTAAAGTTAGGAATGAGATATTGTAATCAAACTTGGTATATAGCAAGCTGATATGAAGACCCCGGTTGGTATTGCATCTGGACCCCCTGGGGCCAAGGTCAAGGTCACCGTTACTAAAAATAGAAAAATGGTTTCCGGACAATAACTAAAGTTAGGAATGAGATATTGTAATCAAACTTGGTATATAGAAAGCTGATATGAAGACCCCGGTTGGTATTGCATCTTGACCCCCTGGGGCCAAGGTCAAGGTCACCGTTACTAAAAATAGAAAAATGGTTTCCGGACAATAACTAAAGTTAGGAATGAAATATTGTAATCAAACTTGGTGTACATCAAGCTCATATGAAGACCCCGGTGAGTATTGCATCTGGACCCCCTGGGGCCAAGGTCAAGGTCACCGTTACTAAAAATAGAAAAATGGTTTCCAGACAATAACTAAAGTTAGGAATGAGATATTGTAATCAAACTTGGTATATAGAAAGCTTATATGAAGACCCCGGTTGGTATTGCTTCTGGACCCCCTGGGGCCAAGGTCAAGGTCACCGTTACTAAAAATAGAAAAATGGTTTCTAGACAATAACTAAAGTTAGGAATGAAATATTGTAATCAAACTTGGTGTACATCAAGCTCATATGAAGACCCCGGTTGGTATTGCATCTGGACCCCCTGGGGCCAAGGTCAAGGTCACCATTACTAAAAATAGAAAAATGGTTTCCGGACAATAACTAAAGTTAGGAATGAGATATTGTAATCAAACTTGGTATATAGCAAGCTTATATGAAGACCCCGGTTGGTATTGCATCTGGACCCCCTGGGGCCAAGGTCAAGGTCACAGTTACTGAAAATAAAAAATGGTTTTCGGACAATAACTAAAATTAGGAATGAGATATTGTAATCAAACTTGGTATATAGCAAGCTTATATGAAGACCCCGGTTGGTATTGCATCTGGACCCCCCTTGGGCCAAGGTCAAGGTCACCATTACTAAAAATAGAAAAATGGTTTCCGGACAATAACTAAAGTTAGGAATGAGATATTGTAATCAAACTTGGTGTTTAGCAAGGTTACATGAAGACCGCGCTTGGTATTGCATTTGGACTCCCTGGGTTCAAGGTCACAGTTAATATGTGTTTGTAAGTTATGCTGCTTTGCTTAAGAATAATTGGTCACTGGTTCTACGATGATAGACACCAGCTTGTGCCTGAAAGCAAATGCACAAAAAAGTAACCCTAATATCTTCTGTCCCATAACTTTGTAAAACATCATAAGTAATTTATTGAACAGACATTTATAAATGAAAAGATTTCATTCCTTAACTCTAGAAAATTAATTCCTTTCTTGAATAATTTGGACAAAATGATTCTATGATAGCATATAAAAGACCCAGGAAGAATGTGGGATGTGATCTAAACCTTTTGTTCTAGTTCTAGATGTTTTTATGTTGTACTAACTTTAACTATTGTTCTTTTTTTTTGTATTATTTATTTTTGTATGACAATTGTGAATGAAGGATAAGGGTCTTGTATGTACTTTATAGGTTCTTGATTTCTTGGGGATATTTTGATTGGCTATAATTTAGATAGGGTAGATTTGTGTTATAATGTAGATGGGGTAGATATGTTTTGCTGTAGACAGGATAGATTGGTTATGATGTAGAATAAAAAGATTGGATATGATGAAGATAGGATAACTTATGTGGATAGGGGGTAAATTAGTTATAATGTACATAAAGTAGATTGGTTATAATGTAGATAGGGTAGATTGGTTATGATTTAGATAAGGTATATTGGTTATCATGGGTAGATTGGTTATGATGTACAAACTGTAGATTGGTTATGATGTAGATTGGTTAATAATATGATGTACAAACAGTAGATTGGTTATGATGTACAAACAGTAGATTGGTTATGATGTACAAATGGTAGATTGGTTATGATGTAGATTGGTTAGGATGTACAAACTGTAGATTGGTTATGATGTAGATTGGTTATGATGTAGATTGGTTATGATGTAGATTGGTTATGATGTACAAACTGTAGATTGGTTATGATGTACAAATGGTAGATTGGTTATGATGTAGATTGGTTAATAATATGATGTACAAACTGTAGATTGGTTATGATGTAGATTGGTTATGATGTACAAACTGTAGATTGGTTATGATGTAGATTGGTTATGATGTACAAATGGTAGATTGGTTATGATGTAGATTGGTTAGGATATACAAACTGTAGATTGGTTATGATGTAGATTGATTAGGATGTACAAACTGTAGATTGGTTATGATGTAGATTGGTTAGGATGTACAAACTGTAGATTGGTTATGATGTAGATTGATTAGGATGTACAAACTGTAGATTGGTTATGATGTAGATTGGTTATGATGTACAAACTGTAATGATTGGTTAGAATGTACAAACTGTAGATTGGTTATGATGTAGATTGGTTAGGATGTACAAACTGTAGATTGGTTATGATGTAGATTGGTTAGGATATACAAACTGTAGATTGGTTATGATGTAGATTGGTTAGGATGTACAAACTGTAGATTGGTTATGATGTAGATTGATAATGATGTAGATTGGTTATGATGTAGATTGGTTATGATGTAGATTGGTAATGATGTAGATTGGTTATGATTTAGATTGGTAATGATGTAGATTGATTAGGATGTACAAACTGTAGATTGGTTATGATGTAGATTGGTTATGATGTACAAACTGTAGATTGGTTATGATGTACAAACTGTAGATTGGTTATAACATGTTTAGAGCAGATTGATTATGATTTATTATGATGTGGGTACTGTAGATTCATTATGATGAAGAAGAAATATAAGAACCAGTGTCATATTGGAAATTAGATAATAATTGGGATAGGAAGCTGACAGTTATTTTGACACTGCTTGTAATATTTAAGCAAAATAATTTTTGTAAAGTAAATAATTCAGTATCGTATGTAGAAGATATGTTTGTGTTATAGGTGAATTGTATGGTACATTTGCTTACAGTGAGCTAAGTGTGTAATAAAAATAATAATAATAATAATAATAGTAATAAAAATAATGGATCATAGCAGGAAATTCACATATGTATCCCAAATTGGTATTTACTTCCGACCATAATGTGGTTACCTCCTGGACTGTATAAGAGGTATGAATTGCATTTATTTTCCAATTGTGTAAATTTCAGCTTAATGGCACAGTTTTTCAGTAGAAAAATGTCAAGTTTTTATGTACCATTTTCACTGACAGCAAAAGAACGCACATTAAAACTAACTGACCTGTAGTCTGTACATAGTCTGCTTATACCAAGATATTTTTTGAAAATCAATGATGCCA